ACTAGATAAATACTATTGGAAATGAGATCACTTTATCTTATATAATTGGTTAACATTGTTTGATCGTGAAGAGCAAATGAAAAGAGAGAAAGGGGTGATTGAAAAATAAAGTACATTTGTTGCATTGTTAAATTGTTTTTGAAATAACAAAAATGCCACAAATTATAAAGAACTTGCATCAAAATAAATTAATTAATTTAGTTTAACTAAAATATTAATTTGTTAAATTATCTATTTTGAGTCAAGGGTCAAGAAGACGAGACTCATCATCTCATTTACTGAATTGATCTCAAAGTATAAATATTTGATCTCCAATTTTAATTATATTATTTTTAAATTTTGAACTGACTTGAGTGTTAGAGTATTAACCACGCCGGTTCATTATGCACAACTGAAAGACTACGAATTGATGGAAAATAATGAAACAGAATGAAACATAGCAAAGTAGAATAGAATATAGATTTCGCTCGATTGTTTAGTTATTTTATCAAAAAAATCTCATTCCATCACGTACACTTTAAATTGAATGAAATAAAAAATGAGAAATTAAATGAAATAGGTTGGAATGAATTCCATCATGTTCCATTCCATTCCCTCCATTATTTGTAAATCCGAACAATAGAATCTCACTAATTACCACTCAATTCTATTCCATTTTATCTCATACCACCATTTCAAATATACCCTAAAGGAGATCGGAGCCACCGTTTAAAATCACTATTATAAAACATTTTTCATTAATGAGGATAAGATTTATTAATGTGTATAAAAGTGAATAAGAAAATTATTATCCTCCCTATCATTTAGGTTTTATAGAGTATATTAATTGATTAACGCGACAATATTTAAATATGTAAACGACGGAAAACATAGACCTATTATTAGACTTAATTGAATGATATAACTATTACGCTCTATTTAGATACAAAATCTAATTAAACCATTCATCAATAATTAATGATGAATAATTAATGATAAATAATTAATGTTTACTAATAATTCATTATGATATAATTAATTAATAATTAGTTATATCAATAAATACTTAATTAATTAGATAATTAATCTAACACTGATGTCCAATATGTTAGAAATAATTCATATTTAGAAGTTGTTGTTAGAGTCAGAAGTTTCTGAGACTATTAGTCAGAAGCAGTAGTTAGTTAGAAGTTTTCTAGAAGTTGTGTTGTTCAAAAGTTACATGCTTCAGGATCTTGCTCTGTGTAGCTGATAAGTTGTATGTTCAGAACATTGTTTTGAGTTTTATTAGCATAGTTAGTTTTCCTTACGTGGCATTTTATTTTTTGTATATTTAAACAAGTTTGTTATAGTGAAATCATAACTGAATTTTTCACCATTGAGGGTTTGTTACGTTTTTCTCTCTTCTCTCCCTTCTTCCATCTTCAACCTTGTGCTCCAACAATTGGTATCTAGAACTCTGATTCGATTCACAGGGAAATACGAGTGTACATAAGGCGTGTGTGAATGATTTCTTTTCTTGAATTCCCATTAAATTCACGATCAGAATCGTAACAAAATTTCGTTTCTTGAATTCACATTGAATTCACGATCAGAATCGTAATAGAATTGCATTTCTTAATTTTGCAAGATCGGGAAACACGAGTGTTTGGTGAGATTTGAGTGAGTTTTAGTGCAAAAGAACGAATATGAACGAAGAAAATAGTTTGAATATAAAGACTCTAATGTTTGATGGAAAGAATTGGAATCAGTGGATGATTCAGATGCGTATGTTGCTCGATGCTCAAGTCGTTCTTGATCTCATCACTGATGGTTATGTTCCGCTTGTAACAAATGCGACAGAG